ACTCTTTCTGTAGACCAGGCTGGCCTCAAACTCACAGAGATCCCCCTGCCTCTGCCTCCTGAGTGCTGAGATTAAAGCCGTGCGCCACCATGCCTGGCAACCATCACCAGGCCCTTAATTCACTTAATTTGATTATCTCCAGTTTTATCTATTTTCCTACAAGGAACAACTTTATTCTTCATGGCTGAAAAAATTCTGTCTCTGTCACATACACAGAACCAACCTATATTGGTTCTATAACTTAGCTCCTGTGAGCATGCTTCAAAAAGCATTGGTATGCAAATATCCCTGTGATGTCTTGGAGTGCTCCGTGTAAACTCAGTAGTGGTGTAGTGGGGCCCTCAGGTAGGTCCATTGTTAGAAGCATCCATACTGATTTCCATGGTTACTAGATGACTTTGCACCTCTAGAAGCAGTATAAAGAAGGGTTCCCTTTGTCTAATTTCTCATCAGCTGTTGCTTTCTAAACTATACCCTTTCTGACTTTGGTGACATGTAATCTCAGTGTGGTTTTAATTTGCATTCTCTAATGGTAGGAGGTTTAGCTTTTTTTTTTTTTTTCATATGTGTAAGAACTGTAGAATATTTATTATCTGCAATAGGGTATTTTGACCTTTTCCTTTCCTTTTTGTGTCCCTGTCCCTTCTCTTGGCTCATTACTCTAGCTAAGGCACCCAGCAGTATATTGAGTAAGAATGGACAAAGTGAGCTAGGTGTGGCACGCACCTTTAATACCAGCACTGGGAACCAGTAGAGTTCCCAGATGGCCAGGGCTACATAGTGAGATCCTGTCTCAGGGGGAAAAAAAAAAAAGTGGAGAAAGTGGACACTCCGGCCTGCAAGATGGCTCAACAAGTGTAGGCACTTGCCTCCAAGACTTACGACCTGAGTTTGATCCTTACAACCCACATGATCTCACGATGTTTTCTCACCTCCAAACAACTTAAAAAGAAAAAGGAAAAGAAAAAAGTGAATGCCCTTGTCTTGTTCTTGATTTTAGTGGAAATGCTTTGAGTTTTTATTATTTAGTATAATTAATGTTGTCTATATGTTTGTCATATATATCTTTTATTAAGTATATTTTTTTGTATTCCTAGTTTTTCTAGGGCTGATGTTGGATTTTGTCAATACTCTTTCTACATCTGTTGAGATGAAACTGTGATTTCTCTCCTTGAGGCCATTGATGGGATTGTTATATATATTGGCTTACGTATGTTGAAGCATCCCTGTTTCTCTGCTGTGAAGCCAAACTTGGTCATGGTGAATGTCTTTTTGTTGTGTTCTTCAATTTGGTTTGCAGGCATTTTTGGGGGGTGGGTGGGGAATCTTTTGCATCTGTGTTTAGCAGAGGAATTGGTCAGTAATTTTTTCCTTATTTATTATGTCTTTGTAAGAAGAGTTTTGTAGTATTCCTTCCATTTCTGTTCTGTGGAATAGTTTGAGAAGTTCTAGAAGCCACTGCTGTGGAGTTAGTACTTTTTGGAGGACTCATGTTACTTTTATTTTTCATGTTTCTTGTGTTTTTGCGTTAGGACTTGAACATCTGGGGTTAAGTCATTGGTTAGAATTTTTTCATTGTTTTTATCATCCTTATTCTTTCAGTGGAACTGCTTACAATGTTCAAGAAGCGATTTGATTGTTCAGGTTGAGGTCTCATTCTCCTCTGCTAGACTGGTGTTGAGCTTCCGTCCTAGTTACCCCGCCCCCACTCCCAACAGAATACTGTCCATGTAAACAATCGTTTCTCATTTATTCCAGTTTCAAGTCTCATTGTGTTCCTTTTCAGACTCCCAGATGCCTTAGAAATCCTGTTTGATCTGCAAATTTGTTTTACTTTTTTCAGCTTTTACCAATCTCTGATAACGTGGACTTCCCTTCTTTAGTGTACTGGTCTTTCCTGAGATACGAAGGGCTGATTTGGAGTCTGCGTTCTCATTTTCTGAGCAGCTACTACAGGTTTAAACAGAGCCCTTACTTCCTGGTGTTCCTTGTTCTTAACTGTCAGGTTTATCTGAAGAAAAAGTTGTGCCACTGTGCCAGTAATGCTGGCTTCTGGCTCATTTTCTAAATTGGCAGCACTACATATATATTGTGCTCTTTAGATATTGGTAAACATCTTCCAGAAGACTGCAAAGTAGTTTAAAAATCAAGCTACATTTCTTTCCCACTAATTACTGTCTGCTTTGGTTTGTCTGAATAAAATATATTACCAAAGATTTGATAACTGCAACTCTGTGTCTACTTGTAAATATTCTGTTACCTGACCCAGGACTTGGACAGTGTTTTGCATAGTAATAAATGTAGCAGGTCTATTTATGTGAATTGGCTGGACACACAGTTGTTAAGCCCTGCCATTCCTTTTCTAGCCTTCTCTGTTATGTTCAGAAACATTATTTTAATAAATAATATGCATGCTAAAATGCTTCTGAATTATACTGTCCCAGTTTTGTACACCTCAGATCAAAAACTGATTCAGAAGGTCATAAGAAATTATTGGTTATCTTTAGTGATTATCCTTGATACTCAAACATTAGGAAAGTCTGTTTTAAGAAATTAAAGATTGCTGGGCGGTGGTGGCACACGCCTTTAATCCCAGCACTCAGGAGGCAGAGACAGGCAGATCTCTGTGAGTTCGAGGCCAGCCTGGTCTACAGAGTGAGTTCCAGGACAGGCTCCAAAGCTATACAGAGAAACCCTGTCTCGAAAAACCGGAAAAAAAAAAAAAATTAAAGATCAGATGTTGATTTTTGATAACCTTTTACTTTGTATTTTCCACAATGCTGGCTTATGTTTGTTAATCAGTGAGTTACATGGTAATGTGCTATTGGTATCAATATATACCAATATATATGAAGAAAGATGGATTAGCATTAAATTGCATTAGATTGTCCCTTAAATGCGAGGGGCTTTTGAAAATTTCTTCATCTGGCTATTTCAAGTAATGCGAAATCATTTTCTTTTTGCTCAGAAGTAGTCTTAGTTTTAAAGACAGATTTAGCTGAGAGTGGTGGTGCACATCTTTAATCCTAGTACTTGGGAGGCAGAGGCCAGAGCTGGTCTACATACCAAGTTCTAGGCCAGTCTGAGCTACTAAATAAGACTGACCCTTAAAAAAATACATATATACATGCATATGAAATCAGACATGATCTGCATATCATGAAATTCACTCATCTGGAGTAAAGAATTCCATGATTTCTTTCTGTTAATTTGATAGTTATGTAGCTGTTACCACAGTATACTTTTAGAACACACATATATATCACTCTGAAAAGAAACTATATATACATTTTTCATTATTTGTAGAGACTCACAGAATTTTCCTACTGAGAACTTACTCAGAGTCGAGAATCTGAGCTTGCTTTACCCAGGGCTGCATAAGGGGGTGATTTGACCATGGGCATGGTTACCAGGTGTTTGGAAGGGTCTACACTTGGCTGTGTGGTGTGCTTTGATCTAGCAAGGGGGCAGTCTTTTGCTCTGCCCCTTGGCCTTGTTATAAAAAACCCTTTTGGTGCTGGAGAGATGGCTCAGAGGTTAAGAACACCGACTAATCTTCCAGAGGTCCTGAGTTCAATTCCCAGCAACCACACGGTGGCTCATAGCCATCTTGTAATGAGATCTGGCACCCTCTTCTGTGTACATAATAAATAAATAAATCTTTAAAAAAAAAAACCTGCCGGGCGGTGGTGGCACACGCCTTTAATCCCAGCACTCGGGAGGCAGAGCCAGGCGGATCTCTGTGAGTTCGAGGCCAGCCTAGTCTACAGAGCGAGACCCAGGAAAGGCACAAAGCTACACAGAGAAACCCTGTCTTGAAAAAACCAAAAAAAAAAAAAAAAAAAAAACCCTTTTGAAGAGTCAGAAAGGACCATTAAGTTTTGATCCAGGTCCTCCCGAAGCTATCCTGTGTTGCTGTCTTTCTATCCAAGTTTCTTATCCCTCTCTCCTCCTCATAGGAACCCCTTTAAAAGGTGGGAGCTGGCCTCCCACAGTGATTTTCACACCTCATCCTATCATGTCTAATAAAGTAACTTTATACAAATGACTGTAAAATGATAGAATTGAATACTGTAGAATTTGCCAGCATTCTTACACTTTTAGGGGTTTTTTGTTTTTGTTTGTTTGTTTTTAAGGCAGGGTCTCTCTATGTAGCCCTGGCTGGCCTGGAACTAATAGACTATACTGGTTTCCAACTCACAGAGATCCACTTGCCTCTGCTTGCCAAGTGTTGGGATTAGAGGTGTACACCACCACGCCCAGCCTATCTGTTCGTTTTAAAGGTTGATTTAGAACATGGTATTTCTTTTTCTTTTTTTGAAGTAAGGTCTCACTTTGTAGCTCTGGCTGGCCTGGAAGTCACTATGTAGACCAAGCTGGTCTAGAACTCTCAGGAGATCTGCCTGCCTCTGCCTCCCCAGTGCTGGGATTAAATGTGTACAATACTATTGAACATGGAATTTCTTTTTTTGAACAGCAAAGATACTCAATAGTAGAAATAGTGGTAAGAGTTACGTGAGTAGAAGAAGACTGTCTTCAGGAAACATTTTTAAATGCTTCTTTTTGCTTGGATGTAAGGAAATTGTGCAAAAGGAAATTGCCCGAGGGTGCGTATAGAGAGATGATACAGTGTTTAAAAGCGTGTGTACTGCTCTTACAGGCGACCCAAGTTCAATTCCTAGCAGCTGTGTCAGACAGTTCATGATCACCTGTAGCTCCAGTTACAGGAGCATCCAACTCCTCTGGCCTCTCTAGGTTATCTGTACACATACACACTCACACACACTTACAATAATAAAAATAAATCTTGAAAAGAAATTATTGGGTAAATGTAAAATTAAAGATTTATTCAGCAATTAAATTTGAAGAATTTAGTAGGAAAATTTATAATTTTATTCAAACTGTGTTATATATTAATAAAGAAATCAAAGATTTTCATAATCAGTAGTCTTATCAAAGTAACATCAATTTATGGTTGTGTTATTTCCTTTTTTTTTTAGCTTCCCAGAATCAAGAAAGGCTGTGTGCGTTTAAAGACCCTTATCAACAAGACCTTGGGATAGGTGAGAGCAGAATCTCTCACGAAAACGGGACAATACTGTGCTCCAAAGGGAGCACGTGCTATGGCCTGTGGGAGAAGTCAAAAGGGGACATCAACCTTGTGAAGCAAGGTGAGTAATACTTTTGTCTTCACTTAACGTGGCTTTGTGGTTTTCTTTTCTTTTGGGTGCTGAGAGTCAAAAACACAGAATGTCATGCACATAGGCAGCAAGCTCTCTCTCTGCCACAGGGCCATATCCTCAGCATTGTTTTCATACAGTTGAGGTTTATTTGGAAAAGACGTGTGGGTAGATTAAAACCCTATCCAGAAAAGTAGTAACTAAGAATGTAAACACACATATATCTATATATTCACCCACAAGCTCCAAGTTTGTAAAAGAATTTTTACTTTTTGTTTGTTTGACTGACTGACTGACTGACTGAGATAAGGGCTCACTGTGTAGACCAGGCTGGCCTAGAACTCAGAGAGATCTGCCTTCCTTTGGTTCCCAAGTGTGGAGACTAAAGGCATGCTCCACCACGCCTGGCCTTTTAATAACATCTTATTTTAATAACATTTTTGTCTTTATAAGTTAATATATGTAAATGAAATTTGGAAAAAACTACTCAAAAAAACCAAGATCTACAACTCAATTCTGTTAAAAATACTATTTTTATATTGATTCTTCCCTTTACGTACATTTCCATGGACTTTAATGTTTACATGTGTACGTCTTCTTTGACAGTTGTGATAATGCTGTATAATAATTCCATGCTCTTCCCTCATGTCATTGTAAATAATTTCTGGAAATGTACCTCAACTCCGTATTTCACTATGTACATGCATCACAGTTTACTTACACACTTTGGATACTATGCTGTTTTAAGTTTTCACTGAAATGCTTTATCCTGCAGTAAAAAACTTTAAACATATACATACATAAACATAAACATTAGATTCTTTGATATAGAATTAGTAGATCATAAAATGTATGATTATTTTAAAGGTTTTACATTAAAATTGCTGTGGGTTTTTCCAAAATTACCAGCATACATACATTTATTATAGAATTGTATGAGAGTAACTGCCACTAACACTTTGTTATGATTTCATATTGTTATTTTAAAAATTAGGACAATTTAAATCTAAACAGTTTGACTTTGCAGTTAATCCTAACCATGCTGGTCACTTTTTTCTCATGAAATGTCTGTTATATACTTTACCATTCTTTTTTAGGTTGTTTAATGACATATATTACGTATGTAATGTAAAACTGCAATTATTTCATAGTTTGTTGTTTTACTTATTGTGTTCTTTCCTGACTTATTTTAATACTGATTTGTAGGCTGTTGGTCTCACATTGGTGATCCCCAAGAGTGTCACTATGAAGAATGTGTAGTAACTACCACCCCACCTTCTATTCAGAATGGAACATACCGTTTTTGCTGCTGTAGTACAGATTTATGTAATGTCAACTTTACTGAGAATTTTCCACCTCCTGATACAACACCACTCAGTAAGTATTTATAGTAACTTCTTTATAATTCCTTGCTTTAGAAGTTTTGAAAATATAAAGCAGATAACCATCCAAGGTTAGTAAAAGTGAGGAGAGTTCCAGTGTTGTGAAATTTAATCTAAAATCCCAGAAGAGATTTACCAGCACCAGAAAACATCAGTATATCACCAACTAAGTCTGAATCAAGATATAGTTTTCCTTTTGTCAGGAGATGGTGGTATCCCACAACTCCAGAGACTTAAGGCAGTAGGATTGCAAGTTCAAAGCAAGCTTGAGCTACCTGGTATTTTCTTGGCCAATCTGGACTACATATCAGGATCATGTCTCAACAAACAAAAAATCAAAACCCTCTTAAGGAAGGGAATTAGTGATATCAAGAAAACTACAAGTCAGGCGTGGTGGTGCATGCCCTTAATCCCAGCACTTAGGAGGCAGGAGCAGGTAGATCTCTGATAGTGTGACGCCATCCTGGTTTACATAGCAAGTTCTAGGCCAGTTGGGGCTGCACAATGAAACCGTGTCTGAAAATAAAACAACAACAAACAATAAAAAGGAAAGTATAGCTATAGTTCAGTGGCCTGTTCCTGTCGTCCCACTTATTCTGGAGGCCGAGGAAGGCGGGTCGCTTGAGGTCATATGTTCAAGTCTAGTGTGGGAAATACAGAGAAATCCTAACTCAGGAAACAGACAACAGCCAGCATTGGGGCACATGCTTTTCATCCCAGCACTTGGAGGCAGAGGCAGGTCAATCTGTGTGAGTTTGAGGCCAGCTTGGTCTACATAGCAAGCTCTAGACCAGCCAGAGCTCCATGGTGAAACCCTGTCTCAAATGAAAAACCAAAACCTGCAATGAAACAGAAAACCAACCAAACAAAATGAAAATTAGCAACGAAGTCCTTAGAGGATAGACATGTAACTGTAGAATAGAGGAAGAAGATAAGACCATGTAATTGAAACTTGCCATACAACTTACTGATATAGACAGGAATTTTTAAATATGTGTACATGCATCACATGCATTACATGCATGTTTATATAGTCATATATAATGTATATGAGCATATATTTTATGTATATAAAAATTTAAGTATACATACTGTGGTGGTTTGAATGAGAATGGCCCTATAGGCTTCCATGTTTGAGTGCTTGGTCTCCTGTTGGTGGAACTGTTTGGGAAGGATTAGAAGGTGTGGCCTTGTTGGAGGACATGTGTCATTGGGGGTGGATTTTGAGGTTTCAAAGTTCACATCATTCCCAGTTAGCTCTTTGCCTTGTGCTTGTGATCAGACGTAAGCGCTCAGCTACTGCTATAACACCATTCCTGCCTGCCCCATGCTCCTCACCGTGATGGTCCCCAATACATGATTGCTTGTATAAGTTACCTTGGTCATTGTCTTTTCACAGCAATAGAAAAGTAATGAAGGCAGAAGTTGGTCCCAGGGAGTGGCACATTGCTGTGACAGGCCTGCCATGGTGTGTTTTGGAGGAGTGTATGAGACTTTGTATTAAGAGAGAGGCTGAATGGGCATACCAGTAGGAGCGTGGAAGACAGTAGTGCTGAGAGTAATGTGGCTTTGGAGGACAAGCTCGAGAGGTTTCAGAGGGGAACAATGTTAGCAACTGGCCTCGAGTCCATTCTTGTGATATTTTGGCAAAGAACGTGGCTGCTTTTTGCCCTTGTACTAAGAATCTGTCTGAGGATATGAGTGCAGGTGCCATAGGAGGCCAGAAGAAGGAATTGGTAAAGTTCCAGCTGGTTGTAAGATGCTCCATGTGGGTGCTGAGATCCAAGATTTGGATTCTTTGCAAGAGCGTTAGACGCTCTAACCCACCAAGCCGTCTTTCTAGCCCCGTAAAACATTTTTTTAAGTGCTAAAGGACTTTTCAACTAAGCAGTAGCTGAACTGCTGTAGTGACAAGATTGTCCTATAATTAATGGCAAAAATGTTCCATCCTCAGTACTCATATAAAAGCTGGGCACGTTGGCACGGGCTTGCAGTCTCAGCTCTGGGGAGATAGACAGACAGAGAATGGGGCTCACTGTCCAGCCATAAGAAAGCCCCAGGTCCTAGTGAGAGACCTTGTCTCAGAAAACAAACTGGACGGTGCCTGAGAAAGAATTACACCAAGCTATCCTCTGGCCTCCATACACATAAGTGCACACGCAGCTGCATGTACACAGGTGCCTATGTGTATACACACACACACACACACACATACACACACACACACACACACACACACACACACACACACAACATACAGTGTGCTGAAGGCCAACGTGGGTCAAGTGAATAAATAGATGCTTTAACATTGTCTCTGTGTGAAACTTTACGATAACAATATTGAAGTTTAATAGTAGTCTAAAAGCTGGTAAGAGAATCGAGGAGGAAAATATCTGTTTCATGTGAGAGATTGTGTAACTGTTGAAGCAAACAGTTGTAGTCTCAGGTGAAGTGGTGCACACCTGTAATCCCAGCACTTGGAGGAGTGGAGACAGAGGAGTCAAAGCTCAAGGCACACCTCAGCTAATTTAGCAAATTCATGGCCACTCTGGGCATGATGAGATCCTGTTTCAAAAAACTGAGTAAATAAGTAAGCATCAATAAATATTATGAAAAATGCATAATGATCTTGAAAATACTTATTGTTCTAAATAAAAAATCTGGGGGCTGGAGAGATGGCATAGTGGTTAAGAACACTGGCTGCCCCTGCAGAAGACCTAAGCTTGATTCCCAGCACCCATGTGGTAGCTCACAACTGTCTGTCACTCCAGTTCCAGGGCTCTGTTCCCTTTTTCTGGCCTCCACAGGCAGCAGCTATACAAGTGGTGCACAAACATGTATTCAAACAAAGCACCTAGACTAATAAAATAAGAAAGGGAGAAATGTGGGAGTGTAATTGCATCCAGCTGACCTAACCATACTAAGATTTGAGAGACTACGAAGAAACTGTCATTTCCCCACTCTGTCTCTCTCTTGGAGCACTATGTTAGTCCAGACTGGCCTCTAACTCCCTATGTAGTCCAGGCTAGCTAAACTCAAAATCTTCCTGTTTTTACCTCCCAAGCCTTGCAATTACAGGTATGTACCACTGTACAGACTTGTTTCTTTGTGCTCAGTGGGTAAGAGCACTGACAGCTCTTCTGAGGTCCCAGTTTTGAGTTCCAGCATCCACATGGTGGCTCAAACCGTCTGTAATTCTAGTCCCAAAGGACTGATGCTGTCTTCTCACCTCTGAGGGCATAGTCATGTATATTGTGCACAGACATATGCACATAAAATAAAAAATTGAAAAATTAAAAAATTGCCAGGCGGTTGGTGGCGTACGCCTTTAATCCCAGCACTCAGGAGTCAGAGCCAGGCAGATCTCTGTGAGTTCGAGGCCAGCCTGGGCTACAGAGTGAGTCCCAGGAAAGGCGCAAAGCAACACAGAGAAACTCTCTGTCTCGGAAAAAAAAAAAGAAAAAAGAAAAGAAAAAAGAAAAATTTAAAAATTGCCTTTTTGTCCCTACTAACCATTATAGTGTTGGGCACATAGTGAAAATGTAGTAAATGCTGAATAAATAAATAAAGGGGTAAATTGTGAAATATTGTCAAAAGGTTGAAAGGAATTTTTTTTTTTTTTTTTTTTTTTTTTTTTTGGTTTTTCGAGACAGGGTTTCTCTGTGTAGCTTTGCGCCTTTCCTGGAACTCGCTTTGTAGACCAGGCTGGCCTCGAACTCACAGAGATCCACCTACCTCTGCCTCCCGCCGCCGCCGCCGCCGCCGCCGCCGCCGCCGCCGCCGCCGCCGCCGCCACCGCCACCGCCACCGCCACCACCACCCAGTTATACTTTACTTTCATTTATGTGTATATGTGTTCCTGTGTGAGTGTCTGCCACATGTGTGCAGTTGCCCACAGAGGCAAGAAGAAGGTTTCAGATCCCTGGAATTGGAGTTAAAGGGAGGTTATGAGCCACCTGATGTGGGTCCTGGGAGCTGCATTCAGGTCTTTTGGAAGAGCAGCAAGTGCTCTTAACTGACCCAGCAACAATAAGAATATATGGTTCACTGGCGATAAGAAAATAGCTCTCTGATGACCCTGTGAAGGAGAAGTGGATGAGATCTACATGAGTGGACTGGGTGTGTGTGGGGGGGGTGGCAGAGGGCTAGGAGTGGGGGATGAGAACATAGGGAAATGGGAGGGTCAAGCTGGAACAGGGACAGAGTAGGAGGGCAGGGAGGAAGATACCATGATAGATGAGGACATCATGGGAATAGGAAGAGGCAGGGTGCTGGGGAGGCTCTCAGGAATCCACAAGGTTGACCCCACCTTGGTCTGCTGGCAGTGGTTCAGAGGGTGCCTGGACTGGTCTACTCTGGTGACCAGCCTAGCAAATAACCTAGCTGTCATCATAGAGCCTTTGTCCAGTGACTGATGGAGGCAGATACAGAGATCCACGGCCAGGCGCCAGGCTGAGTTCCGGGAATCCAACTGATGAGAGAGAGGAGAGATACTGCAGGCGAGGGATTGTCGAGATCATGATGGGAGGATGTGCAGAGATGACCGGCCGACACTAGTGGAAGCCCATGAACTGTGGACTGGTGGAAGCCCATGAACTGTGGACTGGTGGCTGTGGAGCCCCCGTGGGACTGGACTAGGCCCTCTGGACACGGAAGACGGTTGTTTGGCTCGAACTGTTTGGGGGGCACCCAGGCAGGGGATCAGGATCTGTCCCTGGTCTAATGGGCAGGCTTCTGGAACCCGGTGTCTGTGGTGTGACACCTTGCACCAGCCTTGGTGCAGTGGGAAGGGGCTTGGACCTGCCAGGCTCAGGGTGCTGGGCTCTGCTGACTCCCCATGGGAGACCTCGATTTGGGGGATGTGGGGATGTGGGGTAGCTTGGGAAAGAGGGCTAGAGGGTAGGAGGAGGGAGGATCTGTTGAGTGAGTAGAAAATTTCTTAATAAAGAAAAATGAAAGAAAAAAAATTTTCTAAAGGGTTAAAAGAAAAAGAAA